CCCAGGGCATTCAGGACGGGCTTAAAAAGCTGATGTCCCTGCTTGGCCCTGAGGGCGTGCAACTAATTGCTTCGCAAGCACCTGAAGCGATCAGCGCGCGCCTAGAGGCGTTTTTCAAACTATGAAAATGCTCTGCTATAGCAGTTAGAGCAGAAGATGTCGTTGAGGACTGCGTCCATGACGCCACCGTCGATGGATGACTCCCCAGACCCAGGCCGCTCATAGTGAGCGTAAAGACATTTGAGGGTAAAAATGGTGAGAATCTCCTGCTCTGGGTAAGAGAGAGGCCGAGATGGCTATGACATCTGCCATGCTTTAAAACGAGCAACAGCTCGTCGGCGCTAGCTATCTCCAAGCTTGGGGATCAAATGCAAGAATGGGCACTGGCGTGCGGCATTCGGTCGAAGCGGCATATCCCTCCTGGAAGGGGCCGAGGCTGCAGCTTTTTGCGAGTGTTCTCGTCGCATAATCAGGCAAATCGCGTGCGATCACGTTTCCTTGCCGCCCGACAGGGCAAGAAACATTGGTGGACTTTGCTCAAGAGTTGCATATTTTCATTGCCGGGATGGCAGCTGATCCTCGCCCAGAGGCGGTCACAGTGATCGTTTTAATGGAGGTCCTTCGCATTGGCGTGACCAGATTGGAACTCCTCCGTGTGCATCCGTCTTCTTTGAAGAAGCGATGAATGTGGCATTGAATGCCGAAAATCAACTTTATGTCGGCACAACTTGGTCGGAATGCACACCCTAGTAGCTCGTCGGGCGGGCCTGAGCCAATGGATTTCAGCTATGCTGAGAAATGAGGGGGCGAGCTCCGAGCAGCGTTTGAACACCCGACGGTGTTTTATCTGTGGAAACACCCGTCACCTTCGGACTGATTGTCCCTTGCGCAAGGCGCGTCAAGATTCGTCAAACCGACGTCCTGCTTCTCACCAGTCTGGTTTGACGCGGGGAAACGAGAATTCTTAGTGGGTGCGGGACGTCCTACTAAGGGAGAGCTGAGTTCTATTGAGCCTCAAAGAGGTTGAGAGCAGCAGGGCCCAGCCCCGAAGAGCTCCGTGTTCTAGAACACGGAACGCGTATCCAAGTCGGGCTTGCTGATCGTGAAAGCGACCGTGAAAGTCCTTGAGAAGCCATGGAAGATCCTGATCGATTCCGGGGCGTCGGGCAAATAGGCTTGACGCTCCATGATCGGAGCAAGTCAGCTGTATGCCGAGGCGCTGAAAGCGCGGTTGAGTAACACCGTCACTGTTCGCTTAGCGACGGGGACTTGTGTCACTGTGTCGAGGGTCTCTGTGGACCTCGGTGTCAAGTTCCTTGACTTTGATAGCGTGGAACGCTGTCTAGTTTTAGACTTGGATGCAAGGTATTACCTTGTCTTCGGTATGGCATGGCTGGAGCATCATTAGCCATGGATTGATTGGAGGTGGAAGACCTTGGGTGCTACGCGTACGCGCACGTCTCCTGGTGGAGTGAGATCTGAGCCCACCTCTGCTAGAAAGCAGTAGCGCTATTGACGCGGGGACTGGACCGGGTCGGTCAATGTGCTGGGTATCGGAGTATCCGAGTTGTCGTACACCGAAGGTGTATCGGACAAGAGTCATAAGCATGGCTCGCGGGATGAATGTGGAGTGGCACGTTTTCCACTGACCACTGCTCACGTTTGAAGCGGTTGCTGCATGCCAAGAGTGGCATGGTCGGACGAGGTTCGAAGCATCTTTGGGCAAGGTCCTTCTGATGCGCGTAGAGTGGCACGTTATC